ATAAAGGAAAGATAATGCTTATCTTTTGAAAACATGAATTACCTGTTTAATGGGCACAAACAAGTTTTGTTCTATTCATCAGGTAATACACAAAACTTTACACAAAAAGTGAGGGTCAGGGAATGCAGAGAACATAAGAAAACACAAATTACTCACTCTGTTGCATTCTAGGAAAGCAGCAGAAAACAGACTATGCTACCTGCCAATAATGAGCAAGTGTCCTAATTGTTGTCACCCAGGCTGGAGTGCGGTGGCATGATCTCGGCTCACTACAACCTCTGCCTCCCAGATTCAAGTGATTCTCCTGCCTCGGTCTCCCGAGTAGCTGGGACTACAGGCTCCTGCCACCACACCAAGCTAATGAATCTTTATAGTTTTCTGCATGTAAGATCATGTCATCTGCAAACAGAGATAATTTTACTTCTTCCTTTCAATTTGGATGCCTTTGTTTATTTTACTGGCCTAATTGTTCAGGCTACAACTTCCAGGACTATACTGAATAGCAGTAGCAAGACTGAAAATCCTTACCTTGTTTATGATATTAGAAGAAAGGCTTTCCATTTTTCATCATCGACTGTGAAGTTAAAAACAGGCTTTTCAGCTGGGCGCGGTGGCTCAGGCCTGTAATCCCAACACTTTGGGAGGCCGAGGTGAGTGGATCACGAGGTCAGGAGATCGAGACCATCCTGGCTAACATGGTGAAACCCCGTCTCTACTAAAAATACAAAAAATTAGCCAGGTGTGGTGGCAGGTGCCTGTAGTCCCAGCTACTCGGGAGGCTGAGGCAGGAGAAGGGAGTGAACCCAGGAGGCGGAGCTTGCAGCGAGACGAAATTACGCCACCGCACTCCAGCCTGGGCGACAGAGAGAGACTCCATCTCAGAAAAAAAAAAAAAAAAAAGGGGCTTGTCTTATACAACCTTTTTATGTTGAGGTGATTTCCTTCTATTCCTAGTTTGTTCAGTGTGTTTGTCAGGAAAGATCAATTTACATTTAAAAAATTAATGTAATAGATACCTTATTAGGTATATCTTAATAGATATGATGAAACAAAGATGAAGTTTTATCTATTTTTTTAAATCTTAAGAAAATTAGCAATGCCACTAATAGAAGCATAGGCCTTAATCACACTTCAGAAAACATTTCCAAATAGCCCTTGGATAATACTTGGAATCATCACTCTCTGATCCAGAATTCTCTGTCTGTAATGAAAAACTCCAGAGTTAGACCGAGCATGGTGGCTCACGCCTCTAATCTCAGCACTTTGGGAGTCCGAGGCAGGTGGATCACCTGAGGTCAGGAGTTCGAGACCAGCATCGCCAACGTGGAGAAACTCTGTCTCTACTAAAAATACAAAAATTAGCCAGGTGTGGTGGTGCACACCCATAGTTCCCAACAACTCGCAAGGCTGAGGCAGGAGAATCGCTTGAGTCCAGGGGGTGGAGGTTGCAGTGAGCGGAGATTGTGCCATTGCACTCCAGCCTGGGCAACAGAGGGAGACTCCGTATCAAAAAAAAAAAAAAAAAAAAGAGAATCTAGAGTTTGGAAATATTTACCAAGCAAACCACTGATTTCTCATCACCTTTTAGTCAAACCTCCTTGGATGGCCTTCAGAGTGGAACAGAGTAAACACCAGAAGGTAAGTATTTCCCAAATCCCATTGACAAGAAACTTTCCTCATAGATGCAAATACAGGTAAGAGAAGGAGAATGTACAGACTATCCTAGGAACTACTGCCTTCCTTTCCTGATCTCTTTAGCACAGAGTCTGACGTCATCATTATTTTAAGAGTTAATAAGAACAGCAACAATAATCGCTACCATGGTGTTATTTTCTCAGTATTTTCAGACTTTATTTTCAGCATTTTACATGAATAAACTTTATGTATAGTACCTATTCAACTTTACATATAGGACCTATTAAGTAGATGCTATAACTATAGCCATTTTACAGATGAGAAAACTGAGGTATAAAAATGTTCAATTATATCCCTGGGCTCACATTCAGTGTTGGTGCAGTCTAATACAAAAATCCTTCTCCAAAGCACTTACAAGATCATTAAAAGTTTCATAGTTTTTTAAAGTTTATGTTCTCTTACCCACATGTCTTTACATCATTCATCCAACTGATTTTTCAACCTCAGTTTTTCTCTGTCATGATAAAGTGAGATTTGCACTAAAACACTCTGATTAAGGGAAGCTTCCAAGTAAATAGACAATTCATACTGTGGATGGTCCCAGAAGGAGATAGGGTCCCTACCCTCATAAGGGACCCATTCTGATCAGAGGAAACAGCTTCCAGCCCTGAGGAGTTTCAGGTTTGAAGATTGAGAAACAACAAATAAGAAAATGGTTTAGGACTTCATATAGGTTACACCCTATTAAGTAAAAATGTATTCTTCTGGAATCGATTTCAAATGCTCATTCCTGTAGAAGGCAGTAACAGCTCCTTCCTGTGGGCTCCAGTTAGGGAACTGTCATGTTGTTTGGAATTATTTGTTTAGCCTGCCTGCTGCTTCTTCATTGTGAGCTCTTCAGGAGTCTAGTCCATACCTGATTCTTCTCAGAACTCCCAAGCCCAGCTCAGGGCCTCTGACAGCCTCCTGAGTGTTTTCTGAATGACTGATTACAAGTTTATGAATTAAACTATAAGTAACAGGGTCAAGAGATGCCGAAAATATCTTTGAGTTAGATTTCAACTGTAGAGATGATATCAGGACTATGAGATAATTTTCGTTTGTTATTTTTCTGTAGGGGCAGGGGGTGGTTTGAGACAGGGTCTGGCTCTTTCGCCCAGGTTGGAGTGCAATGGCTCAATCTCAGCTTACTGCAGCCTCCATCTCCTAGGTTAGTGTGATCCTCCTGCCTCAGACTCCTGAGTAGCTGGGACCACAGGCATGCACCACCATGCCCAGCTAATTTTTTTTTTTTTTTTTTTTTTTTTTTGAGACGGAGTCTCGCTCTGCTGCCTGGGCTGGAGTGCAGTGGCCGGATCTCAGCTCACTGCAAGCTCCGCCCCCCAGGTTCACGCCATTCTCCTGCCTCAGCCTCCCAAGTAGCTGGGACTACAGGCACCCGCCACCTCACCCGGCTAGTTTTTTTGTATTTTTTAGTAGAGACGGGGTTTCACCATGTCAGCCAGGATGGTCTCGATCTCCCGACCTCATGATCCACCCGTCTCGGCCTCCCAAAGTGCTGGGATTACAGGTTTGAGCCACCGCACCCGGCCCAACCCGGCTAATTTTTATGTGTTTTGTACAGACAGGGTTTTGCCATGTAGCTCAGGCTGGTCTTCAACTCCTGGGTTCGAGCCATCCTCCCACCTCAGCCTCCCAAAGTGCTGGGATTACAGATGTGAGCCACCACACCCAGTCTGTGAGAAAAATTATTTATTTATTTTATTTTATTTTTGAGACAGAGTTTCACTCTTGTCACCCAGGCTGGAGTGCAGTGGCGCGATCTTGGCTCGCTGCAACCTCCACCTCCTGAGTTCAAGTTGTTCTCCTGCCTCAGCCTCCCAAGTGGCTGGGATTACAGGGGCCTGCCACCACACCCAGCTAGTTTTTTGTATTTTCTGTAGAGACGGGGTTGGCCGGACTGGTCTAAAACTCCTGACCTCAGGTGATCTGCCTTCCTCGGCCTCCCAAAATGCTGGGATTATAGGTGTGAACCACTACACCCAGCGAGGAAAATTATTAATCTCACATTCATACTGTATTAAGTAGCTCAAAAAACACTTAGTGAACATTATTATCTTTCGTGTTCACTACAATATTAAGAATTAGTGCCAGGGGTAGTGGCTCACACCTGTAATCCCAGCACTTTGAGAAGCGGAAGTGGGCAGATCACCTGAGGTCAGGAGTTTGAGACCAGCCTGGCCAACATGGTAAAACCCCATCTCTACTAAAACTACAAAAATCAGTTGGGCATGGTGGTGGACACCTGTAATCCCAACTACTCAGGAGGCTGAAGCAGGAGAATCACCTGAACCTGGGAGATGGAGGCTGCAGTGACCTGAGATTGTGCCACTGCACTCCAGCTTAGGCAACAGTGAGACTCCCTCTCACAAAAAAAAAAAAAAAAAGAATTAAAAAATTAGGATGGGCTGGGTGTGGGGGCTCTTGCCTATAATGCCAGCACTTTGGGATGCTGAGGTGGGTGGATCACTTGAGGTGAGGAGTTCGAGACCAGCCTGGCCAACCTAGCGAAACCCTGTCTCTAATAAATACACAAAAATTAGCTGGGTGTGGTGGTGCCTATAATCCTAGCTTCTCGGGAGGCTGAGGTAGGAGAATCTCTTGAATCTGGGAGGTGGAGGCTACAGTGAGCTGAAATCGTGCCACTGCATTCCAGCTTAGGCAACAGAGCAAGACTCCAAAAAAAAAAAAAAAAAAAAAGCAAGCATGCATGCCAATTTCTGGATCAGGAAACTAAAGAGAATTAGCTAACAATACACCCTTATTCAAGCAGACAAGCAGAATTGGTACAGGAATTAACTAATCTAATTCCAAAGCCAAATATTCTTTCCAGGATATGGCAACATGCAACTTTGACATCATTTTCTTAGTTGTCTAGATATATTTTTGCCAATCATCTCTTTGTTCTGTTCCCAACCTTACTGCCCTATTACCTCATTTTCTGGATGTGCTTTGTCCCTCTGCTTTTCTACATTTCCCTTTCCATCAAAAGTCTACTAGTTTATGGAAGATTCCCTCCTTCTCTCTGTAAGCCCTTATCCCCTTCTTTCACAGATCTCGTTGATTCTCCAGCTAGTCTTCCCAAGTATTCTTCCTCCTTCCCTTTAACTTATACAGAACATTTTGAGAGACAGTTGAAGGAAAAGAGCCTTAAGACATGGGTTAGAGTCCCAGATTCACTATCCACTTAGACCTTTTCTTTTCCCTCTAGTATTTAGACACTCTAGGTATTTCCAAGGTTTGAACATTAACTTGAGTCATGCATATGAAAACACGTTGCAAGCCATAAAGAACTAAAGAAATGCATGTTATCTTTTAATATGTGACTCTCACATTAAAGGAAATGCCCAAGACATCATTCAATAATGAATCTAGTTTGAAAGAATTGTCAGGAACGCCAAATTTACTGAGTACAAGTGACTCAGAGTAGGCTCAGAAACCAGCGTCCCCTCCTGGAGAAGCAAGTACCTCTGGACAGCACTCTAGACTAAAACTGGGTAAGAAAAAGTATGGGGGGACTTTAGTCCCTCTATGTCCTCTAGAAAGGTTGATGAGTACGGTCTACCTATGTGGGGTGGACTTTGGATAGGCCTGGGCTTAAGCTGGACTCAACTGTGAGAGCAGAAGTTAGATGCAGTATTTTGTTAAAATTATTTATTTGTTCACTCAGACAGTCTCACTCTGTCACCCAGGCTGGAGTGCAGTGGCGTGATCTCGGTTCACTGCAACCTCTGCCTCCACGAAAATAGCGATTTTCATGCCTCAGTCACCCAAGTAGCTGGGATTATAGGCGTGCACCACCATGCCCAGCTGATTTTTGTATTTTTAATAGAGACAAGGTTTCACCATGTTGACCAGGCTGGTCTCAAACTCCTGGCCTCAAGTGATCTGCTCACCTCTGCCTCCCAAAATTCTGGTATTACAGGCTTGAGCCACCATGCCCAGCCTTGGATACACTATTGAACAGCATGTAAGAACATTAACTTTGGTCACTCACTTGAGTTATAATCCATGTAGAAGCATTGGGGCCTTGGGCAAATCTTATAAATTATATGAGCTCCTGAATGGTAATCTGTAAAATGAGACCAAGTATATACAGCTCATATATTGCTTGAAATCATTAAATTAAATATAAATGAATTGATACATGCAAGGCGTCCAATAAATACCTCTGATAATAGATCTTCTTTTGTGCATTTCTACATTTCCTCTCCCATCACATGTCAACTAGTTTATAGAAGATCTCTGATACAGATTATACTTTCTTGGTGTTGTATGTCCAGGCCTTTGTTCAATGCCTAAGATGAAATGTGCCCTCAAGAAATATTTCATAAATGAATAAATGCATGAATGAACCATTTTGTAAGTAGAAAGGTTGGGAGGTTAATGGGATAATGAGAACAGCCAGAAACTAAAATTGAATAGGCATCTGTAGTCAGTGTAGGTGTGGGGTCTAAGTCTCTCTGAAGCAGTAAAGAAGGGGAGACTAGAGTATGTAGAAAGGTAGATGCTAATTTGATGGTAGGAGATTTCACATTTTCTTATGAAACAAGGACGAACACTCCAGACTCCCAATTTTACCCATCTACTCTTCTCCAACCTAGAGCTCAGGAGGAAGGAGACTGAAGGAAAGATGTATAGCCTGAGAGAAAGAAAGCGTCATGCATACAAAGAGGCCAGTGAGCTGCAGCATGATGACTACCTCTGTCGGCCCTTTTGGCCACTCTCACAGCTTGCTGTTATGTCCTGGTACAATAATTTCATCATTGGCCCACAAATCATTCCTTCACTCTAACGAATTAGAGTATAAGATTGGGGCTAAATAATGTGAGCACCGAACTCTTTCTGAAGCTCTTATATCGAGGAACATGCATTATAACTTTCCTAATCCCTGCTTCCCTCACTTCCAGATTGTGAGATGTGTCAGAACTTCTTCATTGACAGCTGTGCTGCTCATGGGCCCCCTACATTTGTAAAGGACAATGCAGTGAACAAAGGGCATCCCAACCGTTCAGCCCTCAGTCTGCCCCCGGGGCTGAGAATTGGGCCATCAGGCATCCCTCAGGCTGGGCTTGGAGTATGGAACGAGGCATCTGATCTGCCGCTGGGTCTGCACTTTGGCCCCTGTGAGGGCCGAATTACAGAAGACAAAGAGGCAGCCAACAGTGGATACTCCTGGCTGGTAAGAAGAGCCTACTGTTTCCCTCTTCTGTCTTCCCACATCCCTTCTGTGCCTTTGGTGAGATATCACCCTCTACATGTTAGGATATAGGTATGGATAACATGGTTAGCTCTGTGTACTCAAGGGTCCTTGCATGAACATGGAACTCCTATTTAGAGATCAGAGGGTACCTGGGAGCAAAGGGGTACAAAGACAAAGAAGTGCATCCTCCCTTGTGGAGCTTCTGCTCTGACTAGACAAACCAACTGAGATGTGTAGATGATGACTACGGTGCAGGCCATGTGGTCTCAGTTGGCAGTTGAAGCTCTGCAGGCCCAAAGGCCATTGATGACAGTGGAGTAAAATAATTCTTCTGATTTTTACCCTCTAAAAAGCTTTACCTTATTTTTCTGAAACTCCGATCACCAAGGGGAGAAACTGCTATGAGTATGTGGATGGAAAAGATAAATCCTGGGCCAAATGGATGAGGTAAGGCCAGTAGCTCTCTGAGTTTCAGACAGAACCTTCATCTCTCACAAACCTGGATCTCCTTCTTTCTCATTATGCCTCCTTCAATGATTTTCACATCCTCTATTTCTATTTTTCTCCATACAATGCTGTTTTATACCGTCAACATTTAGAGGCCGGGCGCGGTGGCTCACGCCTGTAATCCCAGCACTTTGGGAGGCCGAGGCGGGCGGATCACGAGATCTGGAGATCGAGACCATCCTGGCTAACACGGTGAAACCCCATCTCTACTAAAAATGCAAAAAATTAGCCGGGCGAGGCGGCGGGCGCCTGTAGTCCCAGCTACTGGGGAGGCTGAGGCAGGAGAATGGCGTGAACCTGGGAGGCGAAGCTTGCAGTGAGCCGAGATCGCGCCATTGCACTCCAGCCTGGGCGACTAAGCGAGACTCTGTCTCAAAAAAAAAAAAAAAAAAATTTAGAAAAAAAAAATATATATAGATATTATGATTTATTGATATCAAAACATAAATATGTATGTTAGACAAAATTGAGGCACCAAGATAAACCTTGAGAAGCCTAGATTCACGGGGGACACTGAATTCATGCTTTAATATATGTAATCCACATTTATTAAGCACTTAGTATGTTCCAGGTTAGGAAGTGAAGTTCACTACTTGAACACAAGCGAGCTTCAGGATGACCCAGCCCCTTTCTACAATGGGCTCTCGTTCTATCAGAGAATAGAAAAACGAATCAACTATTACTGTTCTATGTTATTGGGCCAAGAGAAAAAGACTTCTAAGTTTCTCTGGGAATCTGGGGAAGTCAGGTGAATGGCACCTGAGTGAACTGTAGGGTGATTAGAGGAAGGCCTATCCAAGAAAGATGGACTTGGGCTGAGTGTAGAATGATGTGTGCTAATCTAGAAACAGAGCACATGATCCAGCACCAAGTTCTGTGTATAAAACAGAATTAATTTAGAGTTTAGAGAAGCTAGAGGTCAATGTGTTTTATGGCCAATCAAGGTGGAGGTAGGTCTGGAGTTGGGCTTTGAAAAAATGGTTAATTAGGCACAGCAGGGAAGCATTCTAGGCAGGATGAGCAGTGTAGTCAGAAGTGCAAGTTCATATGACATTGTGAAAGAGATTTAGGAATGAGCAGACGTTTCCCAGAGGAGTGCTGGGATTACAGGCTTGAGCCACCGCGCCCGGCCTTAACTCTTAAGGAGAGTAAAATACCATCTAAAGTCAGTAAAATTTCACATCAGTGGCTTCCAAAATTAAATATTCATGTTATATGCCTTTGCCTCTTTGGAACAATTTTTATTGTTTTAAATCTTTGTTCTGATTTTATATTCTAAGTACTTCATGCACAAAGTATTTAACAGCATATAGTACTGAAAGACTTAAAGACAAAAATCAAGTTCTCAAACACCTACCAGCTCTCCCAACAAGGTAGTTTCTTCTGGCATTTCTGTGATGTTTATTAATGATATACATGTGCTGTTATTCATTGATTCATTATCTCAATTAGCTGTCATGTGAATTCCTACTCTGTGCCAGATAATGTTGCAGGAAGTGTAAATACAGATTGATCAAGACAATCGGAAAAACTGCTCTTGAACAGATGACATGTGAATTAGGGAACCATATGATGATATACAGACATATGTGTAATATCAGACAGTGATTAGTGCTTTGAAGAAAATTAATCCAGAGGCCGGGCGCGGTGGCTCAAGCCTGTAATCCCAGCACTTTGGGAGGCCGAGACGGGTGGATCACGAGGTCAGGAGATTGAGACCATCCTGGCTAACACGGTGAAACCCCGTCTCTATTAAGAAATACAAAACACTAGCCGGGTGAGGTGGCAGGCGCCTGTAGTCCCAGCTACTCGGGAGGCTGAGGCCGGAGAATGGTGTGAACCCGGGAGGCGGAGCTTGCAGTGAGCTGAGATCCGGCCACTGCACTCCAGCCTGGGCGACAGAGCGAGACTCGGTCTCAAAAAAAAAAAAAAGAAAAGAAAAAAAAAAGAAAATGAATCCAGAAAGAGTAACTGGGGATCAGCATGAGACCTGGAGTCAATGTGAGACCTGGGGGTCAGTGTGAGGTGAGAGTAGAGTGTTGCAGGGGATTGTCAGGGAAAGTTTCTCTTAGGAGACAGCATTTGAGAAGTGCAAGTGCCTGTGGGCCAATAGTTCCAGGCACAGGGCGCAGCTAGTGCAATGGTCCTGAGGCCAGAAATAGTTCAGCTTTGGTTCATTCTTGGAAAACAGGCTGCAGTGGGTCATCCCCTCAGAGCTGCTCCAGTTTCCAGGTGAGAGAGAATGGTGGGCAGGATGAAGGTGGGGAGCACAGAGGTAAGCCTGAGCAGGGATATATTTTGAAACAAGACTTCCTATTGTTTTTGAAATGGGCTCAGACTGAACGAAATAACTCAAACATGAATACTTGATGTGCAGCCTGAGAAAGAGCATATTCTCATTTTACGATTTGTGGAATCTGAAATAGAAGCAGTTCATGCACCTAGTTGGGGCAGCAGGACCGAGTCCTTTAGTCAGTGGGACCTGACCACTCTGTGTTGGCCAACCTGAATCCCACCTCGTGATGGACAAGCAGGCACATAACAGTCCTCAATCAAATATGTCCTTTTGAATGAGGAGACGCAAATTCAGATTTGCTCACACAGCTTCTCTTTAACCACATTTGTGGATCTCCAGGCTGAGTGTTCCTAATAGATCCTTTTCCCCTCTTAGGAAGTCACTAAGGACAATCTCACCTAAGTCACCAAGAGTGTTATTTCTCAATAGAATAAAATAACTGAAGACCTCGTGTCAGCAAAAGTGCCCAGGGACCAGGGAGGGAGGATGTAGCAGAGGGTGATCAGGGAAGACTATAGGACTTGTGGGGGAAGGTCACTGCAGTTCCATCTATGTAAGGAATGACGCTGCCCCTGGTGCTGCTTGAGGTTTTACCTCGTCTGGCTGATGTGTCGAAAAGGCCCAAGATGTGGGATTTCTGAATTTTTTAAGATGTAGTGAATAAAAGTAGAATGGAAAAATGGACTGTAAAGGTCCATCCAGCACTTGCTAGGAGAGAGTTTGCATTGTTAACATATGAAGAATGACTGGTTTTCATTTGATCTTCATACCTTTGTATGTGGTAAGGCCTGAACAAAACGTCTACCCTGACCAAAAACTTCCTCTTTCTTTTTTTTTTTTTTTTTTTTGAGACGGAGTCTCGCTCTGTCCCCCAGGCTGGAGTGCAGTGGCCGGATCTCAGCTCACTGCAAGCTCCACCTCTCGGGTTCACGCCATTCTCCTGCCTCAGCCTCCCGAGTAGCTGGGACTACAGGCGCCCGCCACCGCTCCCGGCTAATTTTTGTATTTTTTTAGTAGAGACGGGGTTTCACGTGTTAGCCAGGATGGTCTCGATCTCCTGAACTCGTGATCCGCCCGTCTCGGCCTCCCAAAGTGCTGGGATTACAGGCTTGAGCCACCGCGCCCGGCCAAAACTTCCTCTTTCAGAACCAAAGCCAGAGATCTATCCATGCCCCTCATGCTGTCTGGCCTTTTCAAGTCAGAAATTTCTGTCAACATGTGGAACGCAATCACTCCTCTCAGAACTTCCCAGGACCATCTGCAAGAAAACTCCTCCAATCAGAGAATCCCTGCCCAGGGGATCAGAATCAGGAGCAGCAATATTCTGATCCATCCAGCTGTAATGACAAAACCAAAGGTCAAGAGATCAAAGAAAGGTCCAAACTCTTGAATAAAAGGACATGGCAGAGGGAGATTCTAAGGGCTTTTACTAGCCCACCCAAAGGACAAATGGGGAGCTCTAGAGTGGGAGAAAGAATGATGGAAGAAGAGTTCAGAACAGGCCAGAAAGCGAATCCAGGGAACACGGGCAAATTATTTGTGGGGGTAGAAATCTCAAGAATTGCAAAAGTCAAGTATGGAGAGTGTGGGCAAGGTTTCAGTGGTAAGTCAGATGTTATTACACACCAAAGGACACACACAGAGGGGAAGCCCTATGTCTGCAGGGGGTGTGGGCGGCGCTTTAGCCAGAAGTCAAGCCTCCTCAGACACCAGAGGACACACACAGGGGAGAAGCCCTAGTCTGCAAGAAGAATGAGTAAGTCTTTAGTAATAAAACCTTATCTCAATAGCCACAAGAAGACAAATGTGGTCACCACACATTTGCACACCCCAGCTCTGAGGTGGCTTCAGCGGAAATCTGCTGACCCCTTGCATTCTCCGAGAGTGTAAAGAGATCAGAAATAACTAATTAAACAAACCCACCAGTTTCATGACTATAGATGAGGAAGAACAGGGGATAGTTCTGTAAGTGTTCGGGGGACGTCAACATGTATGGTTCTTTCCCGCACTGATCCCCTCCGTTTTTTGTTTTTTGCCTCCCATTCTAATAAATTTCATCTCCATACAAATCTGAACCCCGAGTGTATACCTCATTCTTCCCTTATCACTGAAGGCAAGAAGAGTCCAGAAGGGCCACAGAGAACTCATACGTTCAGCTCAAGTCTCCACAGGAATTCAACCCCCAGAAAGATATGTCCATCTGAAACCGGAGTCCATCTGGTTTCATTATTGGAGAATCGATTCCCAAGTCCAAGAAGATAAACATAGGATTTTAGACAGTCGCAGCAGGAAAGGGAGCTCCCTGGTCTCCTGGGAAGTGTGGCCTCTTCTCCTAACGGACCCCTCTCCTCTGCTCGATACTCCCCTTTGGCTCCCCCTGTCTCCTCTCCTGATTTCCTCCAATCTCTGTAGCCCCAGAGGTGAAAGCCAGACAGGAACACACATGTGTGTATATATGTGTTCACATGTGCTACATGCCTGCATGCATGGGTGCCCTCCGTGTGTGTATCTGTGTGAGTGTAGGGGGTTTCAAGGGTGTGTGAGGAATAAAACTCAAAATCCTAAGGAAATTGAACACTCTGAGAGAAGAGAGAGAGACCCTCTCATATTGTTTTATATTCAGAAAAGGAAAGAGAAGCAAAACTAAAGGCAGGTAGCCCGGCGCCTACGAACCAGACCTGAAAGCAAGTAACCAGACCTGAAACCAGGCCTGGGCCTGCCTGACCTAAGCCTGCTAGTTAAAATTCGACTCCTGACCTAGCAACTGATGTTATCTGTAGATTATAGAAAGACATTGTGAAACTTCCCAGTCTGTTCTGTTTCATTCTGACCACCAGTCCATGCAGCCCCCAGTCATGTACCCCCTGCTTGCTCAATTGATCACAACCCTCTCACATGGACCCCCTTAAAGCTGTGAGCCCTTAAAAGGGACAGGAATTGCTCACTTGGGGAGCTTGGCTCTTGAGACAGGAGTCTTACCAATGCTGCCGGCCGAATAAACCTCTTCCTTCCTTTTTTTTTTGTTTTTTTTTTTTTTTTTTTTTTGTGACGGAGTCTCACTCTGTCACCCAGGCTGGAGTGCAGTGGCCGGATCTCAGCTCACTGCAAGCTCCGCCTCCCGGGTTCACGCCATTCTCCGGCCTCAGCCTCCCGAGTAGCTGGGACTACAGGCGCCCGCCACCTCGCCCGGCTAGTTTTTTTGTATTTTTTTTTTAGTAGAGACGGGGTTTCACCATGTTAGCCACGATGGTCTCGATCTCCTGACCTCGTGATCCGCCCGTCTCGGCCTCCCAAAGTGCTGGGATTACAGGCTTGAGCCACCGCGCCCGGCCACCTCTTCCTTCTTTAACTCGGTGTCTGAGGAGTTTTCTGCGGCTTGTCCTGCTACAACTCGAACAACAGATTCTTAGCAAAGCAATTTTATTTCTGCACAGAAGGGTGCCTCCTTGGCCAGTCACCTGAACAAAGGGCCACGAGAGCCTTTATTCCTGACGCAAGTCCTGCCCCTGTACCTTTTCCCATTGGCCGGGGTCAGGTCATACAATCTAAACTAATCCCAGTTGGCTAAACATTTGATTTTTTTAGATAAGGTGGGCAAGTAAAAGAAAGTGGAGGCTGGGCATGGTGGCTCACACCTGTAACCCCAGCACTTTGGGAGGCCGAGGCAGGCGGATGATGAGGTCAGGAGATCGAGACCATCCTGGCTAACACGGTGAAACCCCGTCTCTACTAAAAATACAAAAAATTGGCCGGGCGTGGTGGCGGCGCCTGTAGTCCCAGCTACTCGGGAGGCTGAGGCAGGCGAATGGCGTGAACACGGGAGGCGGAGCTTGCAGTGAGCTGAGATTGCGCCACTGCACCCCAGCCTGGGCGAAAGAGTGAGACTCTGTCTCAAAAAAAAAAAAAAAAAGACAGTGGAGAGGAAGGGGAAGGGGTGTCTGTAATGAACTAGAAAGTTAGTCCTCTTTCCAAATAAGGAAAGGAATGTGAGCTGGTACTCATAACTCCTAGTACTGTGGCATGCCTGGGCATCTAACAAAGGCAAAAAGGAAAAAAGGAGAAAGGGGGTGTCAGGCCTCTGAGCCCAAGCTAAGCCATCATCTTCCCTGTGACATGCACTTACACATCCAGATGGCCTGAGGCAACTGAAGAATCACAAAAGAACTGAAAATGGCCTGTTCCTGCCTTAACTGATGATGTTACCTTGTGAAATTCTTTTATCCTGGCTCAAAAAGCTCTCCCACTGAGCACCTTGTGACCCCCACCCCGGCCAGCCAGAGAACAACCCCCTTTGACTGTAATTTTCCACTGCCTACCGAAATCTTATAAAATGGCACCACCCCATCTCCCTTCACTGATGCTCTTTTCGGACTCAGCCCACCTGCACCCAGGTGAAATAAACAGCCTTGTTGCTCACACAAAAGCCTGTTTGGTGGTCTCTTCACACAGATGTGGGTTGGGTACTATGAATTAAAGAATAAAATATTGATCAGATTATTTGAAGAGAAACCTCATCATATCCCACAGGTGTGTGTGCATGTGTGTATCCATACACTTATGTGCATATACTTGTGTGTGCATGTATGTGTCTGCACACATATGTGCATGTACTTGTGTGTGCGTGTGTATCCACACACATATGTGCATGTACTTGTGTGTGCGTGTGTATCCACACACATATGTGCATGTACTTGTGTGTGTGTATCTACACACATATTTGCATGTACTTTGTGTGTGTGTCTGCACATGTATGTGCATGTACTTGTGTGTATATGTGTGTGTCCACTTGAGGGAACCAATCATAGAAGGAATGCCCCTGCTTCCTCCAGGGGAATCCTAGATCCTCAGTCTCCTACAGAGAAACAAAAATGTAAAAACAAACACCTTACTCTTTTTTTAAAAAAGATTATGAAAAGGGATAGTTTTTTGTTTTTTTTTATTAAGATGCACACTCTCGGCCAGGCGCGGTGGCTCACGCCTGTAATCCCAGCACTTTGGGAGGCCGAGGCGGGTGGATCACGAGGTCAGGAGATCGAGACCATCCTGGCTAACACAGTGAAACCCCGTCTCTACTAAAAATACAAAAAAAAATTAGCCGGGCGTGGTGGCCGTCGCCTGTAGTCCTAGCTACTTGGGAGGCTGAGGCAGGAGAATGGCGTGAACCTGGGAGGCGGAGTTTGCAGTGAGCCAAGATTGCGCCACTGCACTCCAGCCTGGGCGACAGAGTGAGACTCCGTCTCAAAAAAAAAAAAAAAAAAAAAAAAAAAAAAAAAAAAAAGATCCACACTCTCTGTCAAGACCCAGCCAAGCTCGCGGAGGGCAGAGAGACCATCCCTGCAGGCCTAGGAAGAAGCCTTCCTGTCCTCCTGGAAGGGCTCAGGAGTCAAGCCTCCCTGTACCTCCCAGCAGACACATGACTGAAATGTTCTGAAGTTCCCCCCAGAAGAAAGTTGAACAGGGGTGGTGTGGAGAAGAAGGAAGTGCCCCAGATGCATGGGCCATCAGCTTTGCTGCCACAAACAAGCTCAGCCTTTGGTTCTGAATCTGATTCTTGAAGTGAGAGAAGGGCTCTCAGACCAAAATGTCCCCAGGGCATGGAGAGTCAAGAGGGGAAATGGAGTGCTCAAAATCGAGTCAGTTCCCTGCTTTGAACAATCTAAGTCCCTTTTCTCATTCAGTTAAAGCCAGTGGAATCCCCAGTTGGGACTTGGTAGTAGAGGGTGTCTGCTAGATGGTACTAGCCATCAGGCATTTAATGAGGGGAATTTTCTATGAAAATAAACAAAAACGAAGGCTAATAGTTGGAAACTCAGTTTCTGAGTCCACAGGGCAGTTGGTGGAGAGGATTTCTAGATGCCTTTAAACAACTGCCCCCAGGCACAGGTGTAGAGAGCATGATTGAAGTCCCACGCTTGTGTCACTGGGGGCCTGATAAAATTTGCACACCTCACATGGCTCAGACTGCTCTGAGCTATTTTTCTTTTCTTATCTTCTTTTACAATCTAGAACATGTAAAGGATTGTCCTACATATCAGCCAGTTCAGAGACATTTCAAGTAAAGCAGCTTCAGATCTATATATAACTATCATTATAGTTAGCCTTTTCTGTTCCACTGCAGTGATCTAAGCCATGACTATGCTCCCAGACCAAAACGAGGGTCGGGCTGCTTGTTCTCATCACCAATAACAAGATGCGGACGAACTGGGAGAGGAAAGAATTTTTATTTTTGTAACCAGTTACAGGGAGAAGACCTGGAAATTATCACCAGACCAACTCAAAATTATATACTTTTCCAAAGCTTATATACCTTCTAAGCTCTATGTCTATGTGTAAGTGTGCATTCATGTAAAGACGTAAGTGGTTAACTTCTAATCTATTAACTAAGATCTGAGTCCTGAAAATCTTCTCTGGAGCCTCAGAAATGTATTTAAACTACATGGGTCCAGGTGCTGGGGTGATTATCCT